CCAATCATACACAAAACACATAAACATTTCAAACTGCCATTTTACGGAAATTTCGTCCGCGAGATCGGCACCCATGTATAAATTTCGGGACTTTCACCCAGGACACTCCGGCCAACTTAGTTATAATGGAGTGCATCCCCTTTCTCCTCCCAAACAAACATACATATATAATGTATTTAATCACATAATCATACATGGAGTACATCCCCTTTCTCCTCCCAAACAATCATACATATACAATGTATTAAAACACACAGTCATATTCAATGACAACCATTTATCAGACTTATCATATCATTTACTCTTTTCAACTAGCACAATACATGTGATCCAAAGTATGATTTTCAAAGGAAACAAGTGCACTTAAAACATAACACAAGAATTTCCAAAATCTCTTTCCAAAACATACAGTTTAAATCCTCAAAATCCATTGCATGTTCCATGATATGCATGATTTATAAATAGTCCGGTTTGCCTAGTCAACATGCAATTTCTAAAACAATCATAGCTATCTTACACCGATAGCCCAAAACAAATATATCTAAACCTATAAATAAATTCCTTTAATGATACGTTTTTTCCAAAATCTCATGTGGGAGTGATAATGCATATCAAGCTCCACCATCATCATTAATAATCCTTCGATTTCACATTTACAATGACAATTTCAATTATTTATACAAAATGACAATTTGATCCAATTAGCACTACAAAAAAATTGACTTTTTGCGACGGTAAAATACCGTCGCTAATACTCCTAATGCCGTCACTAATACTTTTTGCGACGGCAATAGGGGGTCGCAAATGCAGGGGTCGCAATTTCATGACTTTTATAATCAACACACTTCAACATAATCAATACAATTTCACATAATCACCACAATTCAACATATTTTAACTCAAAACCACTAAATATAATTCAACATAATTCACGGTGTACTCTTAAATTTTCATTTCATCATTTCATCCCAAGGCTCATGTTATCCATATCATTAACTAATCATTTTTCCCAAATTTCATTTCATATCATAGCATGATTTACAATATCCATAAATAAGGTTCAATCGCTAATTTATAACATAATTTTGAAACACCTCCAAAATCTAATTAAACTTGTACATATATAATTCAACCTACCAATTTTATGAATCTACTTTCAATTTGGACAAAATCATTAATCATCATAACGAATCAACTTAGGGTTTTCAAAGAAAATTAAGATTTTTAACAAAAATTCAAACTTCTTAAACCACTACTTTTAATTTCAATTTTCCTCTTCATTATACACATAAGGTTCATAATCCACTATATTAACCCAACAGTTGAACCCCCAACACTTCAAACTCTAAACCCCCAAAAATCATAATGTACACTATATGCTCGAAAATGTGGGTTTTACATGTATATAATCAAAATACCACAAATCTATCTATTTATGGAAGTATTGAAGAAGAACTAGGACCTCTACTTGTGCTTCCTTATCCAATGAACCATCTTCTTTGTCCTGCCCAAACAAGAAATATGAATTTATCCTTAGATCAATTAAAAAAATTATCCTGTTTGAGCCTGTTTTCCAATCTCCCGCTTAAAAAAAAAATAAAATCAAAAAAACCTAAACAGGAGAAGATATTCCTATTCCTTTAAAATTTTCAGTAAATTCAAAGATCACTAAGAATACAATGTAGCATGATAAAGCAACAAGCATGAAGTCCCTAGACCCACTTTGGGGCATCATTTTCTAAAACGCAAGAAATGCTTTCAAAGATCAATCACACGAGAAAGCTTCTGAATTCGGTTTAGTAGGAAGTCCCCTTGCTTGATAGTTGCTTGATAAAGAGCATTCTTTGCATCTGGACGGTTAGTTTCCAAAACACCGGCAACTTTATCAATCTTGCAGTGAAGCTTCCCTGCTGCAATAAAACGTGACAGTTCCCTGGTGCAAACGAGGAACTCAATTAAACACCAATGGTTCACAATAAAAATCAATAACAATCTTACAGAAAAGATCAAAAGCATGAGTGAGTGTATCTAGGAAAATGAGATCACTTACAAATCAATGAACATGATGTTTTCATTTAGAATCACCGATATCTTGTATATAGCATCAAAAGATGATGTTTTCATTTAGATGATGTTTAAAAGATGATGTTTTCATTTAGAATCACCGATATCTTGTATATAGCATCAAAAGATGATGTTTTCATTTAGATGATGTTTAAAAGATGATGTTTTCATTTAGAATCACCGATATCTTGTATATAGCATCAAAAGATGATGTTTTCATTTAGATGATGTTTAAAAGATGATGTTTTCATTTAGAATCACCGATATCTTGTATATAGCATCAAAAGATGATGTTTTCATTTAGATGATGTTTAAAAGATGATGTTTTCATTTAGAATCACCGATATCTTGTATATAGCATCAAAAGATGATGTTTTCATTTAGATGATGTTTAAAAGATGATGTTTTCATTTAGAATCACCGATATCTTGTATATAGCATCAAAAGATGATGTTTTCATTTAGATGATGTTTAAAAGATGATGTTTTCATTTAGAATCACCGATATCTTGTATATAGCATCAAAAGATGATGTTTTCATTTAGATGATGTTTAAAAGATGATGTTTTCATTTAGAATCACCGATATCTTGTATATAGCATCAAAAGATGATGTTTTCATTTAGATGATGTTTAAAAGATGATGTTTTCATTTAGAATCACCGATATCTTGTATATAGCATCAAAAGATGATGTTTTCATTTAGATGATGTTTAAAAGATGATGTTTTCATTTAGAATCACCGATATCTTGTATATAGCATCAAAAGATGATGTTTTCATTTAGATGATGTTTAAAAGATGATGTTTTCATTTAGAATCACCGATATCTTGTATATAGCATCAAAAGATGATGTTTTCATTTAGATGATGTTTAAAAGATGATGTTTTCATTTAGAATCACCGATATCTTGTATATAGCATCAAAAGATGATGTTTTCATTTAGATGATGTTTAAAAGATGATGTTTTCATTTAGAATCACCGATATCTTGTATATAGCATCAAAAGATGATGTTTTCATTTAGATGATGTTTAAAAGATGATGTTTTCATTTAGAATCACCGATATCTTGTATATAGCATCAAAAGATGATGTTTTCATTTAGATGATGTTTAAAAGATGATGTTTTCATTTAGAATCACCGATATCTTGTATATAGCATCAAAAGATGATGTTTTCATTTAGATGATGTTTAAAAGATGATGTTTTCATTTAGAATCACCGATATCTTGTATATAGCATCAAAAGATGATGTTTTCATTTAGATGATGTTTAAAAGATGATGTTTTCATTTAGAATCACCGATATCTTGTATATAGCATCAAAAGATGATGTTTTCATTTAGATGATGTTTAAAAGATGATGTTTTCATTTAGAATCACCGATATCTTGTATATAGCATCAAAAGATGATGTTTTCATTTAGATGATGTTTAAAAGATGATGTTTTCATTTAGAATCACCGATATCTTGTATATAGCATCAAAAGATGATGTTTTCATTTAGATGATGTTTAAAAGATGATGTTTTCATTTAGAATCACCGATATCTTGTATATAGCATCAAAAGATGATGTTTTCATTTAGATGATGTTTAAAAGATGATGTTTTCATTTAGAATCACCGATATCTTGTATATAGCATCAAAAGATGATGTTTTCATTTAGATGATGTTTAAAAGATGATGTTTTCATTTAGAATCACCGATATCTTGTATATAGCATCAAAAGATGATGTTTTCATTTAGATGATGTTTAAAAGATGATGTTTTCATTTAGAATCACCGATATCTTGTATATAGCATCAAAAGATGATGTTTTCATTTAGATGATGTTTAAAAGATGATGTTTTCATTTAGAATCACCGATATCTTGTATATAGCATCAAAAGATGATGTTTTCATTTAAAAGATGATGTTTAAAATCACCGATATCTTGTATATCTCATCTTTTAGACTTTCATTTAGATGATGTTTTCATCAAAAGAACAACTTTATATTAAGTAGGGAGTGAAAGTCTAAAAGATGATGTTTTCATTTAGAAACAGAGCATGTGAAAATGATATGTAATATGCATAGATTTTCCATAAAAAATGAAAAGCTGCTATGATTCAATCTATCTCTCAAATTTCAGCAAGGCCGGAAAATCTTATCCTTCCTAATTGCACGTGATAATGGTGGTTGAAGAAGAAACAAAAAGTTGATCATGTACAAATGGCAACTGAAGCTGTCACCTGCTTTCATCTCCTCCAATCTTTTTCACTGTTTTTTTTCCTGTAATCTTTCTTTAGTTTATCTCTCAGGTATCTTGTTAATAAGATTTCCAGAAGCCGAAAAGGCAAACAAACATTCTATTTATGATGTGTTTCAGTCATCCAAGTCGCATGTTGACCTAGATGGTTTCTAATGTACTGACAATATAAAATATATTCCAATCAATGCATCAGAAACATGGCATAATCTGAAGCGCAAGTACAGGCACATATCGTAGAACCTCTTCTCAGCACCAAAATTGGAACTCAAGCAGAAAGAGACAATGACACATCTCTTTTGCATTTATACATCTCTTTCTACTAAAAATACAATCTTTTCAACATTTTATAACATCAGATCCAGACATCTGTTTTTCTAAAATTTTTCTGAAAAATAGAAATTAGTTTGACAAAAATAAACACCATAATGATATTTTTGAATTTTAAAAAATTATTTTCTCCCTAAAAAATTGTAAGACTATATAAAAATGATGAGTGTTTTTTACTTATTATTTTTTCACTAAATTAGATTTTAGTTTTTTTCAAAAGAATTCAGAAAGTAATGCTGCAAACCAAACCAAACCGATCAGTGGATGTCTAAGCAAACATCTGTCACTGTGGATATTATCTGTTCAAAATTAAAGATTTCCATACTCATAGAAATCTAAAAAAAGTTCACAAATTGCAATGAACATGAAAAGAAAATCACCTCACATTTGGCAGCTTTTCCATTTCAGTAGCATATGCCATACTCAATTGACCCTCATCGCCATGCTACAACACAAGATAACATAAAGATGAATATTTGCAATTGGAGAATACAAAACAATAATTGCATAAAATTATATGTAAACTTATGTGCATAAATTTCCAGTTTGGAATTCCATAAAGTGGACCAGCTGACCCAGACAATGTCATGGAAACTGACTCAAAGAATGCAAAAAAATTTTTGCTACCATAGTGATAATTTCCTAAAATGTTTGAACCATCATAGAGTTTCTTTTACATAACAAATAGACTTCAAAGAAGAACATTCATATTTGTTACCTGGATTTCTCCACTTCCAGTAAGGAAATCATATTGAAACTACACCCCAGGTTAATGTCCTAGTGTGGTGCTGGAAAGTCTTACCTTATCGGTTAGGTCAACTGCTACAGTCTCTCCATATCTTTCTATAATATCATGAAAATGGCGCTCCACAACCTTTGACTAAAGGAAGAAAAACACAGTTAGATGCTCATCATTACACAACTTAAACATAAAGAGCTGTATCCAGAAGAAAACACATACTGTTTGCTCATGATCAATAATATTAAGTCGTGGTTTATAGCTCAAATCAACAATTTGCTCCCAAAGGAGTGGAATTGAACCTCGAATCTGAAGCAAATTAAAAAGTAGCTGTTACTCATTGGTTCACTTGCCAGAAATTTACTTTGGGGTCCAGAGAAGAAAAAAGCAAGTCAGCCAGTGAATTGGTCCACTTAAGATATTGAGTTGAAAAGATATTAACCGGAACAATCAGTATCTGAAGGCACATTTCCTGTGGAAATAATACCTGTAAAAATGAAGACATAGAACCTTCAAACTCCAATAACTGCTCGGTTTCAATAAAATTTGCAACATCACCTTCAAGGTTAGCCCCTCTTCTCCACATTCGGGTCCCTACATTAAATATAACAACCAGTTACTACAATGTTTTGCCATAGCCATTTTAATAGGAACAAAAACCAGTGATGTCTATATTGCACTACCTAGGCGCCGTGTACACCTCCTTGAAATTAAAGTAATTGTGGCTGGTGAATTTTTCAGCTTGAGTTGTCCAGTCTGATAGCTTATGCCTTGGTTAAGTGAAAACACCATAAATAAGAAACTACTCTTGCATAACACTCACGCATGTGCTCATGCATAAACACACGCGTGCACACACACACACAAAATAAGCATTGAAAAGCTTCAGGATATTCCCTTGTAACAGAGGGATTAAAAACCCATCAAGCTGCATAGGAAAAATAAAACATATTAGACAAAGAATTTGTTTCAGTGATCATATTTCAGATGTCCAAATAGGCAACGCCGATTAATCACTTAGAAGTACTTGCTTTGTTTTTTATTGCAAACTT